TCATGGAAAACTCTGGCAGCTGGATCTGATTACTTGAGGGCCCAGGTCTGCCCAGGAGAGCAGTGACATTGAACTTTGAGAAATGTGGGGCCTGCGTTCTGAGACCCTGCCCTTTGGAGACTGATCAGCTTTGAGGCCTGTCAGCTGCCCACTCAGCCTGGACCCCGGCATAGCAGGAGGGCAGAGACCACAAGGCCATGCAAGTTTCCAGTAATGGGATGTTGACTGGCTTGTCTTGACACTGAGCCTGGCCTGTTTCTCCCTCTGCTCTGGGTGCTGGACATTGTGGACATTGGGACTGTGGGGGGTTATAATGCAGGGTGTGGCTCTATTTTCCTGGTGCTTGTGCTATGTCTGACTCTCCATGTGCCCCTCGCAGGTCAGGCCACCTCTTTGACCTCTGCTTCTTGGTAACCACAGGTGGTCTGATGCAGAGCTGTGAAAATGTGAGACATACAAGGTAGTGATTCATCGATTTGACAAACACTGTGCACCTACTACTGCACCAGGTGCTGGAGGGGCTTTTTGAACAGACCTGAAAATCCCTGTCTACACGAAGCCTGCACTCCAGTGAGGGAGACACACAGGAATGGTGTGTGGGATACTGATATGTTTGTGAGGGGAGGCGCTGCAGTTCTGCATAGGGTCTGCGTCAGAAAGGGGCCCTGAGAGGGTAGCATGTGAATACAGACCTGATGATGGCGAAGGGCGCCACTGATGTCTAGGGAAGAGTGCTCGAGGCAGTGGAAACAGCCAGTGCAAAGGTGCTGAGGTAGGAGCTGCCTGGTGTATTTGAGGAGAGGGATGGGGACGCCCTGTTTGAAGAAGCAGGTGGAGTGTGTTTGTGGTTGTCCCCGTATCTTGTCCAGAATAATCTAGATTCTAGATGACATTGAAAGCATGAGACAGGGTGAGATGACTCAGGAGCGTGTGCTCACTGACCTGACCTACCAGGTCTGCTGCACAGCAAGACAGAGGACATGCTGGGTGCTGGTTGAGGCCAACATATAAGCCTGGTTATAACCTGGGGCCTGCCTCTGAGCTTTTTGTGGTCTTGGGGGAACCCATCACCCCTTGGGAACAATTAGAAATCCTCTGGATGGAATGAAATGTGGTATTTACTGAAATGGTTCAGCATGAAAGCAGGGGAGGCTGAGGTCAGGCTGTGGGGCTACAGTGCTGAGATGTGGGCTTGCCTTTGACCTTGAGGGACAAACTAAACATGGCCAGCAGGCAGAGGGGAGGACATTGTAGGCAGGAGGAAGATGGGAGGACAAGCGCTTGGCAAGGGTGAGGCAGGGAGTTGAACCTGACTGAGGCGAAGGGGCTAGGGAGGTGGAAGAGCTGAGAGTTTGGAGTTCGTGTCTGGGCTTGGAACCTGTGACCTTGGGCAGTTACTTAACCTTGAAGAGCCTTGTCTGCAAGTGTGGTATCTGTGTCCATTCACGGCCTGTTGACAGAGTGTGCTGGTGTCTAAGCATCTGGATGTGATGTGCCCAGCCCACCGGTGGCATGCAGCGACACATCTGGGAAGCCTCCCAGCCCTGGCTCAGTGGGCCTGTTCCTGGTGGCCCAGCCCTGAGCAGAGCTTTAAGAGAGCCACTGCCGGTGACACGGGGCCTGTGTTGGTGCAGGGTCGACCGCAGGCTTGAGAAATGCGCAGCGCCTGCCCACCTTTCCCTGGCCCCTGCTATTTCAGGGCTCAGTCCCCATGGACTAGGAAGCTTTGTCCTGCTCCGCCGCAGCTAATGACAGCCTGGACTGCCAGGCCATTTAAAAACAGCTCCACTATTTTCATGGACCGGAGGTGGCTGGCCTGTCCTCCTCCCCAGCACTGACATGGATGATTTTATTTATTTATTTTTTTAATAAGATTTATTCATTTATGCACGCAAGAGCTGGGGTACAGGCCAGGGATGCAGGGGGTGAGAGGATCCACCAGAGGCAGAGTGGGGAACAGAATAGGCAGAATGACTGAAATACACTGCTGAGGGGAGCAGCAGGAGAGACAGGAGAGGTCTGCAGCACCATGTGGGTTTCTCCTTGGCTGGCTGGGGATCGAACTCATGCTGCAGAGGCTGTGGATTGCTTCACAGTGCAGTGCTTAACCCCTAGCGCCACCAGGGAGGCCCTGACATAGATGATTTTAAAGAAAACAGAGCCTTGATAGGAGATGGGTCATGTCTCATCTCAAATCACAGACTGTGAGCAGGCAGGATGTGCCCAGGGAACCTTTTTGGGGGAGTCAGGTGTCACCTTTACGGGATCTGAATTTAGAGATAACACCACCCTGCCTTGCCAGCAGACTTGAAAGAATCAGTCAACCTCGCCTCCCTGAAGATTCCTGAGTTAACCCTCCCTGGAGTCTCCCGCAGCAGCGGGGAACAGCGGGGACCGGGCTGGGTGGCTGTATCCAGAGGTCTTACCCAGAGCTGAGGGCTTTTTAAACCCACAGGATTTTCTTCTGAGCTCTTTAATTTAAAGTGGTTTAAAATGGCTTTTGCCCAGTGTGGTGAGGGTAATTTCCTTTCCTTCTTTCTATGAAAATGTCTTTAACCAGACTCGAGGCCTTTGAATAGAGTTGGGGAGGCCATAGAAGTGGTTGGGGTGGGTGAATACTTAGTGCAGGGTGGCGTGTCTATCCATCCTGACAGGAGTCGTGGATTGGACACAATTTTTATTTAGGTAAAAACCTTCTTTTTGGTGATTGGCCTAATTTCTAAACAGAATTGCATTGTTTTTTGAACGCTGGCTTGGTAAATTCTTAGGGTAAAATTTACCCTACTCCTATATTCCAGTCATCTTCCTTCCCAGCTACAGAGCCATTCCCGACCTCAGATCTTACTAGTAGCCTTCACTGGCCCCTTGGTCTGTAGGGTCAGTGCTTGACTTGGCCTGCACACGGCGCTGCAGGCCCAACCTCCTGCCATCACCTCCTTCCTCTGCCACAATTTCCTCTTCCTGTCTACCACCACCTGCCTCTCTCGCTCTGCCTCCTCTCTCATGCTAATCCATGCCCAATATACCCTCCAATTGATGCCCTCTCTGGCCAGCTCCCTGCCTCCTGGATCTCATGAGCCACTTTGCCCTTGTCTTTGGCCTCCTCCAGCGGACCCCGAGGTCTGTGTGTTTGCCTATGCGTGTTCATGTCGCCGTCCCTCCCTCCTGCTCCGGACGTGAAGGGGCTGATGTGGCTCTTCACGGTTCCAGGTGCTTTCTCACCTACTGTGTTGGCGTCCTACCTCCAGAAACATGGAGGCCGAGAGCTTAAATGGGAGAACTAGGACCGGATCCCAGTTTCCTCTCCCCAGGCAGCAGAGCACTGGGCTGGGTCCCTCACCCCTTCTTCCACCCAATCCCAAGGCCTCCGGGCTCCTTATGGGTGGTGTGGGTGGGCTGGCTGTGGAGTTACCCTGCCCTCACCGGGCCTAGGAGCCTGAGTCCCCGGAGGCAGGAATGGGAGGCCTCCCACTCCAGCTCCCGTTCTTGGGGCTGTGGGCTGTGTCAATCCTGTGGTCCCCACAGGAGCCTTCCCATTGTGTTCCAGACACACGTAGCCTGACTGCCTTTGTGGGGAGGCTTCCAGCTGTGGCCCAGCTGTTGGGAGACTGCTCTTCCACCTCCCAGAGGCCCGACAGGCTGTGCCTTCCCACGGATGTTCCTGGCTCCTGAGGGAACAGCTCCTGGGCCACTTCTTTCTGGAGAAGAGAGAACTGCTGGGGCCCTGGGTGGCCTTGGGAGGGTACTAAGTGAGGTACAGTGCTCACCCTCCTGCTCCCTCCAGGCGGGCAGCACACTGGAGGGTTAGAGGAGCGCTGTCAAGCGTAGTGTAGACCTGCTGCAGGGAAGAGCCAGCCGTGTGTGTGCTCGGCCTTGTCTGCTGGCCTGATCCTGACCTCTAAGCTGGGGAGAAGTTTGAGAGGACCCCCTGAAGTTCCCTTCTTCCCGAGCATCAGTCTTTCATGAGTCTTATTAGGTCATTTCTACAAACAAAACTTCAATGGTTCCTGAGGGTTGGCCCCAGGTTAAAACTTGTATCTCTCACTGGCCTTTAACCCTGGTGGCTTTTCTGTGATCTGTCAGCCGTGGAGAGCCAGCTGAGGGCTGCCTACCCTTCTACCTTAGATCCTGAACCACCTGAGACAGGCGAGGGAGTCAGTCAGGGACCAGTGGGGGCAGAGGGCAGGCTGGGTTTCTCCCCCTTCCCTGGCAGAGAGCAACTGACGGCCGCAGATCCCAGGCCGAGGGAGAAGAGAGGGTCCCTGCTGTGTCCACAGCCAGAACCCCTATGGCCTACCCTGGCAGACCCCAGGGAGCAGAGCTCTCACCACCCGCACGCCCGGAGGCCTGGACTTTTCTCTAGTCCCGGGAGGGCTGGGGACCAGGAAAGAGGTATTCTTCCTTGGGGTGACACAGAGTTGGCCAGAAGGCCCCTACCTTGTGGTTAGAACTAGGCATCCTGTCCAGGGCCCCTTGGACCATCCTCAATCCTCAGGTACAAGGGAGGTTGTGTGCCTGGAGCTTTCTGCTGGCAGCCTGTCCTTGTCTGGTCTCCCTTCAGAATGGAGCAGTGGTTAGAATTTCATGAGGAAATAGGAGTTCAGAGAGGCTGACCACCCTCCCAGGTAGGAGGTGTCTTCTTCCTGGCACCAGTACACCTAATGGCCTTTCCTGTAACCTGGATGGGGCAGTGTCCCTCCCATTGCCATCTGAATCCACCCTCTGTCCCTGTCCTGGTGCTGAGGGCAGCAGGGGGTGTGAGTGTGCGAGTATTGAGTGTGTGTGTGTGTGTGTGTGTGTAGGGTGTACATGAGTGTGTGCATGCAGGGTTTGTGTGCGCTGTGTGTGAATGGGGGTGCATGTGGCAGGGGGTATCTGTGTGGGGGGGCATGTGTATGTGAGTGTGTGTGTTTTATGCATGAGAGTTTTGTGACAGTATGTGGCGTGTACCTGTGCAATGTGTGGGGTGACCCCCAGACTGACTCCCGTATGTCCTCCAGGCAAAGGCAGCCAAGGTGGAGCAGGAGGCCCGGAGACTGCATCTGCGGAGTCTGCAGTACCTGGAGCGATATGTCTACCTGGTGCTTCTCAACGCGTATCTCCACCTGGAGAAGGCGCAGTCCTGGCAGAGGCCGTTCAGCACCTGGATGCGGGAGGTGAGAGGCGGGAGGCTGAGGCGCAAGGGGCGGCTGCAGGAGGGGCCAGGTCATTCCCGTCCGCTGTTGAGACTTCCACGTGGCCCGGCGTTTCTCCTGTCTCACTTTGGGGCTCAGCACCGTGTCTGTGCGGGACAGGATGGTCATCTCAGCTTGAAGAGTAAATGCGTGCACGGGGAGGCGTGAGGGGTCCTGGCGATCCACCAGGTACTGTGCCTGCTGGGCTCCTGCTGTGCGCATCTGCCAGGTACCTCTGGCTCGTTGTGCCCGGCCCTCAGGGCAAGCCAACGTGGTGGCTCAGCTCCTGCCAACTGTCCTCTGTGACCTTCGACAAGTGCATTGGTCTAGCCTACTCTCCTCAACATTAAAATGGAAATAACGTTGATACCGTAGCGTGACCTCACGAGATTTTGGGGGGATTCCGTGAGGTCAGTGTTGGGCTGTGGTGAGCAGGACTGTCTTCGGGGCAATTGTTGCTCTTGTTCTGCAGTTTGACCGAGCGTAGAGAGGTCAGTACTTGCTCACCGTCAGTGTGAGTGCCAGGTGATTGGTTCTAAAGCCCCCCATGTCTGTCCTGAGACACCGTCCTTAAGGTCCTCTTGATCATTGCCCTCTGCTCAGCCTCTAGCTCTCCTGCTTGGCCGCCACTGCTTTTGGAGGCAGAGCCGCTGCCTCCACCCCTAGGCCAGAGGTCAGGAGCGAGGCCTCCTGTTCTCGGCAGTGCGGCCTGTAATTACCCTCCACCAGGATGCTGGCCCTCCTGACCTCACCACCCAGTCCTGGCAGTTCTAACCTGGATTCCAGGCTGGAATTATCTCCCCTGGGACAGGCGGGCAGGGGGTGCACACCCCAACCAGACTGATGATGGGAGCCTGTAGGGGCCTTAGGCCCGGCTGCCAGTGGGTTCAGAGCTGTGAGGGAGGCCACGGCAGTGTCCAGGGGGCAGGGATGGTGGCGACTGGGAAATTGTGCTGAAGATGAGCCTTCAGGGTGGTCGTTGATGGGTGAATGTGACCTGATGGGCGTCAGGACCACCCTTTTGAGCAGCCCGGGCTCAGCCTCCCCTTTGATCTCCTGTGTGGTGTTGAGGTGGTAGGGGAATGAGGATACTTTTGGGGGTTCTTCTTGGAGAATGAAAATCTGGGGAACCATGGGTGGGGATGGGGTGCTGGATCCCCTCTTTCCTGGGGATGAGTGGAGGGTGAGGGTTGCCTGGAGACCTTTGTTGTGAGTGAAGCCTTTGTCCTACCCACTCCCAGGATGGTGGGGAGAAGAGGCAGATTGGTGGGTAGTTGAAGTCTGGTGACAGAGCCTGGGCTGCTGGGCAAAGGGCTGGTGTGGTGAGGTGCCAAATAACCCCCTGGGCCAAAGCCCACAATGGGCCAGCCTGGTCCACAGTTCACATTCAAGGGGCTCTTGCTGCCTCTTGCTTCCCCACTGCCAACCCTGCCCCTCCCCCTGGGCCCCTGTCGCCAGTGCTCCTGAGTGTCCAGTGAGTGTCTGGCTGACACAGCCTTGCTTGGCCCCGTGCGACTCCCCACTTCCTTACTGTGTGAGTGCATGCTGTGCTGAGCCTCCTCAGGAGGCCCGGGAGGAAGAGCCACATCCCTGTTAGAAGGATCCTGAGGCTCAGTGCAGTTAACACAAGTCAGCTCAATCAGGTTGCTTAGCTGGGGGGCGGCACCGGCCCCAGTCTTGTTCAGAGCTGGCGAGTAGAGGCTGCCCTGGTGAAGGGGGGAGGGTGACCTGTTGTTCAGGTCACCCTGCCTCACCTGGAGCGCTGGCCCCTCTCTGCTTTCCTCCCAGGTGGCATCGAAAGCCGGAGTTTACGAGAACCTCAACCAGTTGGGCTTCCCTGAACTGGAGTGCGTGGAGGACCAGCCCTTCTCTAGGCTGCGCTGCCGGTGGCAGGAGCAGAGCCGCAGCCCCGAGGCCTCGGCCACAGGGGACTTCCTATAGGAGGGGCTTCCCGTACCCCTGCCTCATCCTGGGCTGGGGTGCCCGGTGCTCCTCCCAGGGTGATCATGAGGAGGCAATTCCTAGTCACCCCAGAGGGCGTGTATGGGGACCTCTTCTATGTAAGAGCTTTTTGTGGGACAGTTGGCACAGTCACACCTTGTAAATGACATGGCCTCCCGGAAGAGGGGCGTGTGTGTGTGTGTGTGTGTGTGTGTGTGTGTGTGTGTGTGAGAGAGAGAGAGAGACACACACACACACACACACACACACACGCCTTGCAGATGGGCTGTCTGGGATGCCCTTAGCCCGTTAAGGAGGTCACACCCCAAATTGCCAGCCAAGCTCCGGGCTGCTTCCCTCCTCCTCTGTCCCCTTTCACAGCAGCGCTGACGGCCCTGGTGCAGGGCAGGCAGGCTGCGGGTAGTTTCCTTACCTTTCTGTCCCTCCCTGCTGGGCCTCTTCGCTTCTCCCCTTTTGCTGCCTGAGCACTGCCCTTGGACTCTGGCTCCCTGGGGAGTGGATGCAGTTTGTGGGGGGGGCATTGTTAATTTAAAGACAGCTTTATCCAATTTTCTTGCCTCTCGGGCTCTGGCTCCGGGTTGGAGACTTCTGCAAGGATAACAGCATGGCCTGCTGGAGGCCCCTCCCTCTCCTTTCTTTTCCTCACCCCCTTCCCTGGTACTGGGAGGGCTACGGAGGTTTCCACAGAGCCAGGAACATCAAGAAATTCCTTTCAGGGCAGGAAAGAGCTTCCAGAAGGTGGGTGAAATCCTGTGGAAGAGGCCTGCTTGATTTGCGTGGGAGCCTGGCTGGAGGTGCTGAGGGAGACAGGCTCCACTGGAGAGCCTCCTCTCTGCTCACCAGATAGAGATGGCTCTGCGCCCCCACCTTCGGCAAGCAGCACCCCAAGGACTGAGAGATGACTCTCAACAAACTGGGATGTAGGCACAGGGCAGATTAGGGTCACCCGTATTCCATACCATTCTTGCTGAGCACCAATGAGTTGTCTTCCATCCGGGGCAGAGGGACAGAGGGGCCTCGCACCGTGAAGTTGGAGGCACCAGGATCAGCTCTTGTGGACAGTGGGAGGCTCCCAGAGAGGTGGGAGAGGCAGACGGTGTGAGCTGAGTCTTGCTGCTCTTCCTCAGGGCCCTGTGCCTGTGAAAAACCAGGTCCTGAACAGTGGGGGACTGCACCCCAAGTCTGGCTTGTGGGAACTAGGAGGTTGCTCTGTGGCTAACTTCTGTAGAGAAGCAGGTGGAGGTGTCACTGGTGATGATGTTTCGAAAGTGGCGAAGAGGTTGAGGTTGTTCACATCTATCTAGTCTTGGGATGAGTGTGACCATCTTGTCTGAATTCTTTTGCAGAACTACTGTATGTCATCTGCTCACTACCTTTTCAGATTTGTTGTTGGTATTGTTTTTATTTTTGCATGTATTAAAAAGTTTTCATTTCTTTGCAGACAAGGATGAGGGGCCAGAGACCAGGGCTGACCTGGGAGGGAGCCTTCATGTTCTCATGGTTGGCCCTGCATTCCAGCTGTGCTGGGATCGCTGAATGGTCACTTCACCTCTCTGCCTCAGTTTCCCCATCTGTAAAATGGGAGAATAATACTTGCCTACCTACCTCACAGGGGTGTTGTGAGGATTCATTTGTGATTTTTTTTTTTGTACAGAGCTTTTGAGCATTAAAGATGGCAAAATGTGAATTGTGCCTAACTTGATTTGTCTGTATTGTCGGGCAGATGGTAGAGAATGGGTGCAAACTGGGGTCCCTGCTCCTTTGGATAAGGGTGGGTGGGCAGGGTGAATCAAGAGCAGCTGCCCTGAGCACTCCTGATTCTCAGAGAAAGTTGTTTTTCAGACCTCCCTTGCCACCCTTGCCTCTCTTCACATCCCCAATCTGCCTACTGTTTCATTCAGGCTGTCCAGGAGTGTCATCTAAACCCCTCTTTGAAGGAAGCAACCTAACAAGTCAATTCACACTAAAGTGTGAAGGACTGTTGTATCTAGGGAAATGGAACAGAGTGGAATTCAGACTACTAAGGAAGGTAGACCTCTGCCTCCACTTCCTTCTCTTATACCCTCATGTTGCTCTTGGCTCCTTCAGGTCCGGGATGCTTGAGCACACTTGCATTGAGAGAGCTGTGTGTAAAGAAACTGTAAAGAGAGGAAGGTAAGGCGAGTACTGACCCCAGACTGCTCTCCAAGCTCTTTCATTCAGGATTTGGGTTGTAGTGCTAAGGTCAGATGGGAATGTTCAGAATGGAACATTCTGGTGATCTCACGAGCCTGGAAAGGATGGTCTCCTGGGTTATTTCCCAGCATAGCAGGGTCCAAGGATGCTCCCTTTGGCTTCTGAATGAGAGCCTAGAGACGTGTACCCTGGTGTGTGTGTGTGTGTGTGAGTGTGTGTGTGTGCGGGGGGCAGTCTGCACTTTTCTGTCTGGGATAAGGGTTCTGGGTAGGGACACATGTGTGCCTGGTGTGTTCAGATCATTCCGTAGGGTACATTCAGTGTCAGCGCAGGTGAAGTGCCTGTGTGTGGTTAGCACGCAGCAGGTAGTCTTGCAGAAATCGTTTTTGGTTCCTTAGAGTGGTTATTTGAGTTATTTGTTCCTGCATCTAAGGAGGCTAGAGAGGTGCCCCCAAATTAGCCACCTGGAGACCAGAAGTTCCTTAAAAGTCAGGGAATCCTGGGCTTGAGGGGATTGGAGCTGGGGGTGGAGAATCAGGGACATCTTGGGGAAGGGCTGACTTGGCAAGTTTGCCAGAGAAAGCCAGCAGCGCGTGAACCAATCTTCCTGCCTTGCTTGGCTGAGAAGAGCAGGATTGGGTCTTGAAGCTTCAGGGTAATTGGAGATCTAGAGTTTGCTGAGGGTCTGGGTAATCACTTCCTTCCCCAGGGATCATTCTTGTGAAATGGCCGACTGATCCTTGCCTTGGCCATGTGATTTGTGGGAAAATGAGAAACGCATGTTTTCCCTCTGCTCCTTGACCTAAGGAGGGTGGACAGGAGAGATGCTGAGGTTTGCTGGCATCTGCTGTTCTGGGCCCCTGTGCTAGCTTTTTACATGTACCATCATATTTACAATAGGGAGAAATCTGGAGGTAGGACATTTCCAGAGGAGCAAACAAAAGATCAAATAGAAGGCAGAGACCCATACAAACTAGAGGAGTTTGGAAGAAAGAAGAAAATAAAAATCGTGTAGTCTCACAACCAGATGCCCAACATTTTGTTCTATTTACTTCTCTCTACGTGCCATACTGTGTTTTATATGTGAGCATGTAAAGCATTCACATCTTCTCTATGAAATTAGGATCCGGAAGTTTGATTACCCCATCTTTTCATTTACCTAGTTGTGATGGTCAGTTTTATGTGTCAAATTGACTGGGCCGTGGGGCACCCAGATGCGTGGTTCAACATTATTCTGGGTATTTCTGTGAGGGGAGTTTTGAATGAGATTAGCATTTAAATCACTAGACTCAGTAGAGCACATTGCCCTACCTCAGAGTGGAATCTAAGCCAATCAGCTGAAGGCCCAAGTAGAACAAAAAGGCTGACCCTTCCCTGAACAAGAGAAAGTTCTCCCTGATGGCCTCTAGCTTGGGCTAGGACATTGATGCTGCAATTTTGAACTTGCCAGCTTCCATAATTGCATGGCCAATTTCTTCTAATAAACAATCAAAGCAACAAATATCTCCTGTTGCTTCTGTTTCTCTGGAAAACCCTAATTCACATTTTAAAAAATATGTATTTCCCTATGCCTTTAGCCTTTGAAGTATTTCCATGACTACATATCATTTAATTGTGTGAACACTTAATAATTTTTAAAAACCAATTCCTTCATTCTAGGCCACTCGGGTTACTTTGTTGTTGTTTAGGTCTTTCATTTTTCTTTTGCGATTAAATTTACTTACACCAAATGCACAAATCTGACATGTACTGCTTGGTGAGTTTTTACAGATGTGTAAACCTATGTAACCCAAATCTCTATCATCAAGATACACATCCTTACATTGGGTTAGTTTTTAATGTTAACATTTATAAAGAATGTTTCAAGGAACATTTTCAAGCACAAATCTTTGGGCAGGTGATACAACTCCTGGAATAGCGTAATCCTGAGAATGGCCCCCATTGACTTATCATAAGGGAATTGTGAAAAATAAGGCCAGTAGAAATAGCTCAGAGGACCCTTAGTAGCATGTAGTAGGGCACTAGGAATTAGGTATAGGGGAACTGTCCAGGGAGCCCCAGAAGCCCTCCTTGGCATCCATGGGGTTGTGCAGACCTCCTCTCAGGAGAGCTGGCACCTTCAGATCCAACAAGTGCGGCTGCCAAGGCCAGGCTCCCTCTCCAGTTCTCAGTCTCTTGGGCTGCTCCCAGCCAACAGCCAACAGTGAGCACCGCAGGGGCCCTAGAGCCTCGGCTCGGGCTATGTCTGCCCACTGCAGTGTGCCTGCATCTGCCAGCCTTGCTTGGACCTCCCCGGGTCTGGCCAGGAGCTCCTCAGAGCTACCCAGCAGGGTGGGCTCTTCTCCATCACTTCTTCGGGTATCAGACCCAAATTGTGGTCTGAAGGCCCTTTCTGCCTTCTGCCTCCTCCTTTATGCTCCACAGTGTCTTCTCCACATCAGTCTCACACAGCCTATCCCACCCCAGACCCTGCTGCCTGAGGACCTGGCTGAGGCCCCCTCACTCTTGTCTTGGCCTCTCTGGTCACTTCCTGGAAAGGTCAGCCTTCTTTCTGGGAAGGTCAGCCTTCTTCCTGGAAAGGTCAGCCTTCTTTCTGGGAAGGTCAGCCTTCTTTCTGGGAAGGTCAGCCTTCTCTGCTGCACTTGAAGAAAGTAACCACCTTGGTTTCCTGTTGTCTATGAGCCGTTCCAGGCAGATGAAGTTGCCTTCCCCATGCACTGCCCTGCCCTGCCCTCTGATAGTAAGTGAGGGGCTGTGGGTCTTGTGGGCTGTGGCCAGAGGGACAAGACATTGTAGCTCAGTCTTCCCTGGGGCGAAGGGGTGGCGGGGAGGGTAGGAGAGGATTGAGAGGTTGGCAGTGATCTAGGTTGATGTCTCTAAATCTGCTAGGGCAATGTCAACCTCTGGTACTTCCTAGGTAAAGGGAAAGCCCATTGTAAAGATTTTCAATGTATACTTTCAATTTGTCACCAGAAAGGTCCTATTTTATGTTTCAAACAGCACTGTATGAGGATGCTGGGTCACAACTCTTCCCAGCTCTGTGTATTACATTTTTTAAAAGTTCTTGCCAGTTAATGGTTCAAAATAGCATCTCAGGGCCTCCCTGGTGGCGCAGAGGTTGAGCGCTGGGTTGCGAAGCTGCCCACAGCCTCTGCAGCGCCAGTTCGATCCCCGGCTGTTCCCTGGCCACAGAAGGAGGGTCCCACATGGCGCGCAGACCTCTCCTGCCGCCCGCTGCTCCCCTCAGCAGTGTACTTCGGTTCTTCTGCCTGTTCTGCTCCCTGCTCTTGCTCTGGTGAATTCTCTCACCCTCCAGCGCTTCTGACTGTACCTAGTGCTTGCATAAATGAATGAATGAATGAATGAATGAATAAATAAATAAAATCTTTAAAAAAATCAACAAAATAGCATCTCATAGTTATTTAACTTTATAATTTTTATAAATGAACAGAGAATTTGAACTCTTTTTTCACATGTACTGGCCTTTTGTATTTTCTTTTTTATGACTTGTCTATCCTTGGCTGATTTTTTTCTTTGGGTCTTTTTCATTATTGATTTGTAGGATAGTCACACTTGATTTCTCATAGCTCATTTCTCATTTCTCATATCTCAGCCTCCACTGCAGCCCATCTGTTCTCAGATCAACCCTTTGTTTTATGATATTCTCCAGCAGAACACTTTCTTTACCTATGACATTTGGCTTCGTGTGCAACCTTCATCTCATTCAGAACTCCAACAATACCACCAGGGAAGTACGAGGATGCCCATTTTATTTTTTTATTTTTATTTTCTTTATAAGAAGAGTTGTTTTATTTTTATTTTTTTCAATTTATTTATTATTATTTATGCATACAAGACTGGGGTACAGGCCAGAGGTGTGGGATGGTGAGAGGATTCACCAGACAGAGTAGGGAACAGAACAGGCAGACTGACTGAAATACACTGCTGAGGGGAGCAGTGGGCGAGAGGGAGTGGTCTGCTGTACCATGTGGGTAACTCCCTGCCTAGCCCAGGATCGAACCTGTGCTGCAGTGGCTGCGGACAGCTTCATAGGTTGCATCTCAACCCCTCGTGCCACCAGGGAGGCCCCAGGATGCCCATTTTACAGGGAGTGACAGAGAAGCCTAGAGTGTCTGATTCCAAGACCCAGCTCTGGAGTCCTGGAGTCCTTTGCCATTTTCAGCGATGGGAGACAGAAATGTCAATCCTTTTTCAGGGCGCCTAGCTGGGTGGTGTGAGGAGGGGGTTGAGTGGAAAGGTGATTACTTGAAAAACCCATGCTCACAGTCTGTGGTTCTTGGACTTGTTGTTTGCTGTTCTTTTAAGAGGTTCCCCTCAACACCCACAAGAAATCCTCGTCTCCGATGATTCACACTGATAAATGATGTGAGGTGCACCTTTTAAGTTTCACTGTGTGTCCTCTTAGCTTACTTTTTCCTTGCCCACCTCCACCCACCCCACCCATGGACAAAACTTACATGACAGTGCCCGCTCTATCCAACAGTGATGTTCACTCTTTCTTTGAACTAAA